CAAGAAGCTGAAAAGAAAACTAGACAACCATTTCCTACCGAAAAAGAACAAGCATCACACCAGATTCAGGTTTAACAAGCAAAAACAAATCGGAGGAGAGAGTGTTGTCACATACGCAGCGCGACTGCACGAAAAATCAAAGGATTGCGAGTTCGGCACGCAAACAGATGACAGACTACTGGAACACTTGATACAAACCATCAAGGACAGCAAACTCGTTAAAAGAGGCATTCAGAAGAAATGGAACCTCGATCAATTCCTTGAGGAAGCAAGCCAAAGAGAAGATATCAATCAGCAAGTCAAAGACAAGAAAGAAGATTTCAAGATATTGAAAGTGGGGTATCAGTCTGAGGATTCTCCAAAGAGCGGCAAGTGGGACAGGAGAAGAAACTCAAAGAAGAAACCGCCGCAACCTCTGAGAAAACGAGACCACGAGAAAGAGGAGAAAGAGAAAGGCAAAAGCTGTGGTTACTGTGGAAAGACAGGAGCGCACCCTCCAGTCCGAAACTGCCCAGCATACGGACAACACTGTTTAAAGAGTGGCAAGTACATTCATTATGAGTCATGTTGCAAAATCGGTGCCAAACCCCAAGAGGGATCTAAGGAAACCGAGAGAGAACGAATCAAGAAAATAACAGAGGCTGAGGGGACAAGCAGTGACTCAGATGATGATTACATCTACCTTCAGGAGACAGCACAACACCTACATCGAGTGAAGAAAATAGGATCAGGTCTAAATCAAGACACTGTACTAATCTGCATAGAAGACATTGATGCTTTCGTTGAACCAGATAGTGGAGCAAGCGCAAATGTGATGGATGAATATCAGTTCAAGACCCTCAAGCACAGATCACAAGAAATTAAGGAATTAGAGCCCAGTAGAGACACACTGAAGACACTTCAATCTGATCTAACAGTCAAAGGCGAATTCACTGCAACATTGTGGAGCAATGTTCAGGAAGTTTTCTTATTTAAAATGAAAATTTTTGCGCGTAATGCTTCATGTCAGGTAAATGCCTAAGATCCAGAAGGCCACTGACAAGTGTAGGCAGCCATAAACAACGTGAACACGAACTGCCGAAGGAAAGGAAAAAGTTGACGCCGACACGTGTACACAAAAGACACCAAGACTGCTGAAGTTCTGCAAGAGTTAAAGACCATGCGGAACGACCTCACCTTTCAAATAAGGAAATTAAGTGCAGATCTAACGGATGTCCAGCAGACACGAACGCCAGGTTAGAAAAGATAGAAAGTGTAATGTCGAAAATTGACGAGAAAGATAACCTGAATAACAAAGTACAAGAACTTGACGAAGAAGTTGACCGAATAAAGGTTTCTTTAACCTCTACGAAGTCTACAGTTGAAGCGATTGACAGCAAAATGGAAGACTCTCTTAAAAAACTTCAAGAAACTAACAAAGAACTTAAGAATAAACTTGAGCACTTAGAAAGATACTCCCGCGATGTCAATATTCGCCTCATAGGTGTTGAAGAAGAAGACGGTGAAGACTGCATGGCTATTTTTTCAGACCACTTCACACTTCTCAGCTTCAAAGAAACTCATGGAGAATTAGAAAATGCTCATCTCACAGGAAGACAGGATGGCAAAGCTAGGCATATCATTGCAAAATTGCAGAGTAGACCTTTCAAGAGGAACCTACTTTGAGCTGTGAAGAACCCACAGAAGAAACACTTGCTTAATGGAGTAAGATTAGTCAAGGACTTCACACCCGGCGATTTTGAACTCCGAAAAAAAGCTTTACCAATGATGAAAAGAGCTTTTGAAGAAGGCAAGAAAGTACGTTTTACAAAAGGAAAACTGTTAATCAATGGTAAGGCTGTTCCAGTGCAATAATTAGATTAAAATAGAATAAAATAGTATGAAGCCGCTATTGCAAAATAACATATTCTTTGTTTTGGTTAAACTCACTTCGGAGCAAAGCTAAGATCAGCGTATAAACACCGTGCAATGATTTCACTTCTGGCCAAAACGCTAGTGACACTTGTGCGTTGCTGCACATCTGCGAATTTTTTGAGTGTGTACTTGCTGTTATTTAACTTCTCTTTCTTCGCTTTATTTTTTAAGAGTGGCTGACTGTTGGGATCGAGAAATGCCAGTCAACGTCCCATTTGACAAATCACTCATATTTTGCCCAAAGATACGCTTAGGTGACCTAATTCTAAAAATCATATTTAAAGGTTCCAGCGAATTTTTATTTTTCAGAAATTCGCGAAAATTTGAAAGCGCGGTCAAAGTGCGGTT